TCTGACTCTTTGTGACCCCAGGGGCTGTAGACCACCAAGTTCTTCTGTGTGGAATATCCCAAGCAAGAATACTGTAGCAGATTGCCATTTCCTACTCTAGGGGACCTTTCTGACCCAGGGATTGGACCCAAGTCTCTTGTGTCTCTTGCATCGGCAAGTGGATTCTTTATCCCTGAGCCACCTGGGAAGCCCCAAAGCACAGTTAGATTTATACAACATTTTAAACTCTTTTGATTGTTTAAACTGTATTTTCCTAAAACAGGATATCTTTTGATTTTGGGTGGCATCTTTAATAAACAGTAGTCTCCTCAGTGGAAGAGGAAAGCAGAAAATAAGAGAGCTTCTAATTAATTTCATATTAAAAATAGTAATTTGGCATTCACTTCTTCCTTCTCCAACTGTCTACAAAATCTTGTATCTTACACTCTGGTAATCTTACCCTAAAGTGGCAATGATTTATACTGTGTATGTCACTTTGAGATGCATAGACATGTTTATTTATCATAACCCTGATATTAGAGTTGTTTATAAAGCCGAAACTCTAGTCTCTAGCCAAAAATATTTGAGAACATAAAATACACAATGGATTAAAATACATATTTCAGTGTTTAACCATACTTATTTGTGTACAATGTAAATGTGTTCACCCACAATACTATGTATATGTTTATATTTATATATTTGTAAGAGAGCTGATCTCTAAATAGAAAAATGTAGAAACATTTTTACTTTATTGCTTACCAAAATTTCAGGGAATGTATTTCCTTGTAATTCATTCTAGGACTTTATTTCTCTTAAATATGGTTGGGTTAAGTTGCGTAAACTTTGGCTCACAGAAACAATTTTTATTTTTCAGAATTCTTTCCTCATGATTTAAGTATAATTGAAAAATTGTAGCAATAAAATCTAACAAATATCTCTTATTACTAAATAATGCTTTATCTTCTTAGAGACACTAGTACTCCAAATGTTTAAATTTCACATTTGGAAACAATTTTTTATTCCATGTCTTTTTGATATCTGATGTAACTTTTAAACTGTGACTTTCATCCCTTGACATTCTGCAGTGGAAACATGAATTAATCATTGAGTTTGTCCAGCAAGCAGAATGACATCTTACTGTGATACTATGAGCTTCCAGCAGGGCAAACACAGGCTGTACCTGAGTTTACAGAACAAGAAAACATCCCCACAGGGGTGACATTGCTGCATGCTCAACTTCAGTCTCTCAAAATTCTAGATCTTGTTAGTACAGGGGTGGATTCTATTCTTTTGTAATGTTGACTCTGTTATTGCATTTTCTGAAAATGTAGAGGTTACTGTTAACAGCAACACAAACTGGGGGCCAGGGGTTTCTGTCCATCTTATAAAGGCATTCATAGGAAATGGTTTAATAAGCTATTGTTATTGTTGCAAAAATTGCATTTTATTAAGAATCACAAATGACTGTACATATAATAAATATGTATTTTTAATGAAGTCTAGTTGGATAGCAAATGATTTCATTACTGCCTATAGTTATACAAATCAGTTTAGAGAGGGGAACCATTTGTTAAAGAGCACTGTTAGACTTCCCTTGAAGACTGCCCAGTAGAAAGATTTTATGCAAAGTGCTACACAGTAAACTGTGGAAAATTCTGAAAGAGATGGGAATACCAGACCACCTGACCTGCCTCTTGAGAAACCTGTATGCAGGTTAGGAAGCAACAGTTAGAACTGGACATGGAACAACAGACTGGTTCCAAATAGGAAAAGGAATACGTCAAGGCTGTATATCGTTCCTGATGCTGGGGAAGATTGAGGGCAGGAGGAGAAGGGGACAACAGAGGATGAGATGGTTGGATGGCATCACCGACTCAATGGACATGGGTTTGACTAATCTTCGGGAGTTGGTGATGGACAGGGAGGCCTGGCGTGCTGTGGTTCATGGGGTCGCAAAGAATCGGACACGACTGAGCGACTGAACTGAACTGAACTGAACTGTGTTGGTTCTCTCATACCCTGCTTGTAGTGTTCATGACAGTTTTTGCCAGCTTTGTAGCTCTTGCTTTTTCCCTTGTTTTTTTTTTTCTCACCTGACTTTTGTCACTGATTATAAGAAGTTTATGACTAGAATCCTGTCATTTAACTCTTTAGTTTAATTGGCCCTCCATATCCAGGGATTCTGCATCCATGGACTCAACCTACCACTGTTTGGAAAGTATTAAAAATGCATTCTAGAAAGTTTCACAATGCAAACCTGAATTTTCTATTCAGATAACTCTTTACATAGCATTTACACTGTATAAGGTATTTTACTGCTCTCGAGGTGATTTAAAGTGCATGGAAGGAGAGAAATAGAAGAGGGAGATTAATAAGATATACAGACTTCTAGATACAAAATAAATGAATCACAGGCATAAAATGGAGAGTGTGGGAAATACTATTGTTGCTGTTTAGTTGCTAAGTTGTGTCCAATGCTTTCTGACTCCATGGACTGCAGCACACCCAGTCTTCCCTGTCTTTCACTATCTCCCATACCTTGCTCAAACTCATGTCCATTGAGCCAGTGATGCCATCCAACCATCTCATCCTCTGTCACCCCGTTTCTCCTCCTGCCTTCAATCAAATGAGTCAGTTCTTCACATCGGGTGGTCAAACTTGGAGTTTCAGCTTCAGCATGAGTCCTTCCAATGAATATTAAGGACTGATCTCGTTTAGGATGGACTTGTTTGATCTCCTTGCAGTCCAAGGGACTCTCAAGAGTCTTCTCAAGCACCACAGTTCTAAAGCCTCAGTTCTTCGGCACTCAGCCTTCTTTATGGTCCAGCTCGCACATCCATACGTGACCACTGGAAGAACCAGTAGTTCTTTGACTGCATGGAAATTTATCAGCAAAGTAATGTCTCTTCTTTTCAATACGCTGTCTAGGTTTGTCATAGCTTTTCTTCCAACAGCAAACCTCTTCTAATCTCATGGCTGCAGTGGGAATAATAGTCACCATCTGCAGTGGGAAATATAGTCAATAATTATGTAGTATCTTTGTAGGGTGACAGACAATAATGAGAATTATCATGATGATCATTTTGAAATAGACAGAAATATCAAATCACTTTGTTGTGTACCAAGAGCATAGTGTTGCAGGTCAATTATACTTCAAAGCAAATAAGCAAACTCACAGAAAAAGAGATCATATTTGTGGCTACCAGAGGTACTGCTATAGGGAGGGTGAATTAGATGAAGGCAGTCAAAAGGTTAAACTTCCAGTTATAAGATAAATAAGTACTTTGGATGTAATGTACATGGCAATAAGATAAATAAGTACTGGACGTGTAATGTACATGACAAGTATAATTAACACTGTTGTAGGTTAGATATGAGAGTTGTTAAAAGAGTGATCCTAAGAGTTCTCATCACAAGGAAAATTTTTTTTCTACTTATTTTTTATCTATATGAAATGATGGCTGTTCACTAAATATATTGTGTAAATGGTGAGGTGTGTAAATCAAATAATTATGCTATATACCTTAAACTTATATAGTGCTATATGTCAATTATATCTCAAAAGATGAAAAAAAATTTAAAGTATATAGGAGGGTTTGCATATGTTACATGCAAATGCTGTGCTATTTTATAAAGGAACTTGAGCATCCAGGGATTTGGGTATCCTTGGGAAAGAGAAGGTCCTAGGACCAATCCCTTTCAGATACCAAGGGAGGACTATATCTCTCTTTACCAAGGAAAGGAGTTTTGAATGATGTAGATAAAATAAATATTGATTCAGTAGATCATTTATGCAGTTAGGAGTATGAAGCTTCACCAGGAAGATGGAACTTTTCCAAAGCAAAATACAGAATTCCACTCTTCTCTACTCCTTTCTAATCTTGGGAGTTATGAAGCATTAAGTAACTTAATGCTGTGGTATGAGGCTGGGAGATAGATATTCTACCTCTAATTCTGCCATAAACTAGCTATGGGCTACTGCTTTATTTTGTAAAGTGAGAATGCTGGACCAGTTGATTTTTAAGTTACCTCCTAGTTCTAACATCAATTCTTTTCTAAAGAAGAGCACTGGAATTTCCTTACAGTAATTCCCTATTCCAGGTAATATCTCTCTTAAAACTCTGGAACATGGGACTTGATCTCACTCCAGGTTGAAATCTTGTGATCATATCCACAAAATGGACTACAAGTTAGAACCTGTATTTTTTAATTTAATTTTTATTTTTTAACACCAAAAACATTTTCTATTATGGTATGGCAATTAGCAATGTTGTGATAGTTTCAGACGAACAGTGAAGGGACTCAGCCATACGTATGCATGTATCCATTCTCCCCCATATTCCCGCTCCCATCCAGGCTGGCACATAGCATTGAGCAGAGTTCCATGTGCTATACAATAAGTTTTTGTTGGTTATCCATTTTAACTATAGCAGTGTGTACATGATCTTCCCAAAGTCTGTAAATAACCCTTCCCCTGGCAGCCATGAGTTCATTTTCTAAGTCTGTGAGTCTCTTATTGCTTTCTAAGTAAGTTCATTTGTATTATTTCTTTTTAGATTCCACATGTAAGGGATGTCATATGATATTTCTTCTCTGTCTGACTTACTTCACTCAGTGTGACACCTAATGATATAAAAAGATGTTATTAAATCTAGAAGTGTTTGCAATTTTATAGGGGTTTTTTTTTTTGGTAATATGGCATGATTATTTTTTCCTTTTTACCTTTACCATCAACAGTAAAATTGCTAAATTGGCTAATAGTTGTAAATAAGAAGAGTCTTAATCACTATGTCCATACCCAACAGATAGCAAAAATGTCAATCAACAGATATTTTATTGTAATGCTTATGTGCCCTTCAGTGCTGCCAGACTCATTTGTGGATGGAAAAAGCAATTCCTTGGCACAGTAAATAGACCCCCAGCAAATAGACCACTAACACTCACTGTTAATAATAATGCTAAAACAATCCTCCTATTTTTCTGCTCTCTATGTCATCCATTTTCTATTTATTTTTTAGGATATCCTTGAAGATTAGTCACAGAGCCTCTTATGTGCCTATAAAGGTAGGATAAGAACACTTATTTCTGGTTATAGAATATATTTGTGTTCTATGGCAAATAGAATGCTTTTGTTTTAGCTATGCTTTAATACTTTACACCTATTCTTAGATATAGACATAGTTAATGTTGCTTATTTGGAAAATCTGAAAAATGTGTTATCTCTACTTACCTGTCAACTTGAAATCATCCGATGCATAGTGTTTAATTGTCAGTTTGAATTTTTCTTTCATATTATTACATACTGTGAAGTTAAAGTGAAAATGTTAGTCACTCAGTCATGTCTGACTCTTTGTGACCCCATGAACTATAGCCCGCCAGACTCCTGTGTCCTTGGCAAGAATTCTCCAGGCAAAAATAAAAATGGGTAGTCATAAACTTTGCAAGGGATTTTCCAGACCCAGGTATTAAATGCATGTCTCCTTCATGTAGGTTGATTCTTTACTGTCCAAGCCACCTGGAAACCCCTTACTATTACATATTACTACAGTTTAATATATTATTTAGAGTTCCCTCCCCCCCCTCCCCCGTGGGCAGAATTTATTCATTATTTTACATTTTGTATTACCTTCATAAATTTAGCATAGTTTGACATTACCATGTATGACTTCCATATATCAAGAAGATAATTTTGTAATACATACACTTATGTATGGGCTTCCAAGGTGGCCCAGTGGTAAAGAATCCGCCTGCCAATGCAGAAGATGTAGGAGATGTGGGTTCAATCCCTGGGTCTGGAAGATTCCCTGGAGGAGGAAATGGCAACCTACTCCCATATTCTTGCCTGGAAAATTCCATGGACAGAGAAGCCTGGCGAGCTACAGTCCATGGGGCTGCAAAGAGTCGAACTCGACTGGGCACACACACACTTTTGTATATTAACGTATGCAATATATTATTAGAAACTAAGATTCTCTAACCTACCATAATTTCATAGTTTTCTTCTTATTTTAAAATTATAATTTTTAAAGAAACAACCAAAGTTGCCGTAAGTATAATTAGCTATCAGTGATTTATCAAAATAAATTTTAATTTGGAAGAATTTAATTCTGTATTAGCTTTTCTTAATGAGTGCCAGAAAATGTGTCCCTTTTCTTGGCTAGAATGTATGTGAAGATAAATTTAGAATTTCTACTCTAGTAGATACTTCTCTGATAATAGCTTAATTGCAGCTATTTCAAACCAAATTGTTTAATTGTGGTGAATCATATGCAAATTGTTCAGATGTAGGTCAACCTCCCACTTCCACATTCTAGCACCTCTTTTCTAATTCAAGACAAACTGCTCAATGCCTGAAAGAGGCAGAATGGTACAGATTAAAAGCATATGGCAAAAGCAAAATGATAATAACATAAAAACGACAATGAGCTAGGAGTCATAAAGATGGCACGCAAGGCAGGCTGCATTTATTTCACCTGTGCTGATGATCTTTTGTGCTTGATGTGTGTTTGGTACACTAGCATTTGCTCACTGCTCGTGAGGTTTGTATTTGGCAAATCATGGTGCCTCTAAATTACTACGTTTCCTCACCTGTTCTCGCTTTGGGTGTTCTGGCTGAGTGATACAAGTGGACCTCACAGATGGACAAGAATACCTTGTGTAGCTCTGGAAGTGACCAACTGTGATATATTGCTGTTGTAGAAGGTCGGGAAATCCTTTATTTTCCTAGCTACTACATTCCAGTTCTAATCTGTAATTGCCTTTGTGGTGGATCATTGTATCACTTTCTAATGAAGAGCCGAGATTTTATGAATTCTATTTAATCTTTATATGTCATCTACTATGAAAAAAAATAATTTATTTCGTTTCTAAAGCACCAAAAAATGATAAACCAGATTCATGTGTTTTTCATGTGTTGTCTTTTATCTCTATGAGATTATCATCAATATTTTTGGCATTTTGACAGAAAATAATAAGACTTGCTGATTACTGACAGAAAAAAATTTAGACTTAATTCTAATAAAATTAGAAATCTGCCTTACTATAAACATAGTTTTTAAAATTATCATTCTTCAGTGGAATTTGATTTAAGAATTTGAATTTGTATTTTCATGTAGTTTCTGATATTTCAACTTCTCTGAAATTTAATTTTTCATTCTTGAAGAATTATTGAATCAGGTTACTGACTTAAATAACACCTGTGTTTTTTCCAATCTTAGAATGGGAAAAAATTAGATGGTGTATGCTTTGTATTTCTTTCAATATCAACACTTTTGTTGTTGTTTGAAGTATTTCATATAGAGAATTATACTAAATAGAAAAATATGTTTCCCTCAAAGTTAGCTACTGCTATAGTCTTGATGTTTTTCTTTAAAGGTTCCTTCTTTATATGCACAAATATCAATATCAATCTGTGCACACGATGCTTTCACACCATATGCATGAGTCTGTGTTTTTTTTTTAACATTTTAATTATGAAGATTCTTCTAAGTCAATATATGTTATCTATTTCATCCTTTCTAATGGCTATATATTAGACAATTTTTTTGATGTACCATGATTTATTTAATAGGCCTTTTAAATCTTTTCTAAAATAGAACTTTAAAATAGAATGAAAGCAGGCCTTCCTTAATTACATTTTTGGCAGGCATACAAAAGAATGATTCTCACTTGTACTTTGAATTAGGAAATTAAGGAGTAAAGAAAAAATGTTACAGTAAAGAGTCATAAAAAGTATTAGGTAAGTGCACATGAACCGTCAGGGAAAAGAAGAGCTCATAATGTAGATGTTTATGCAACTGTGTTCTAGGTATGTAAAAGTAACATTCTGATTTTTTTTTTCAAGATTCACCCCAGATGACACCTTCTTTCATAGCTTTCAAAGAGATGTTTCCCTTTATCCTCATTCTTATCAGTCATCTTACATCTCCATAAAACTTTGGGAAAAATAGATCTCATCATACATGTTATTTCACATATAAAATTTCATCTTGTATTTAATTTTTTTCCTGCAGGATGGTAACCCTTAGAGGGCAATGACTGTGTGTTACTCCTATTTGAACTTAGTAGGTGCTGAATAAATGGCAGTCAGCTAGATTGGATTGAAGTGTGACAAGGGAGAGAAATCAGGTAGAAATATTTAGTCTTACCAAATGTTTATAAAGTACCACTACCTACCTATTATCTTTGGAGTAGCACAGTAGTAATTGTTAATAATTCTTCTAATGAATGAGATACAAAATATATAAACACATTATTTTTGATATATAGTAAAAGTTCTTTTAAATTGAATTTTAATGATTCTTAGTTGCATTCATGCTTAAAATCAGACATCAGTTGTTTCAGAAAATTATTTATAAATCTCTAGAAATATCTGTGTGGTACTGAAATTATTTATACATCACCTCACATGGATCTAAAAACACTTTGCCAGCCTTAAAGTATTATACACATGTAAGACATTATTTTTATTGATAAGACAGTAACAAAGTTGTCTCTGTGGGTTAAAAGTATGGATAGTTATTTGCAAAGTAGAAATTACATATAAAAGAAGCAATTCTTTGCCTGAATTCTGTTAGAAGAAACAGAGTATTGTTAGTACTTGTATATAATGCAAGTTGCTACTCATGCTGTTTAAATGAATCTTTGACATTATCTCAACCAGCAGAGGTAGACTTATTAATGGCTTGAATTGTGTCTAAAAGAATCTCTGATTTCACATTAGTCTGAATTCAATGGTAGTATTGACTTAAAATATCTTGAACATATGTACTAAATTATTTTTTAACAGAAAAATGAAAAACTAGTGGGTATAAGATCTCTTTTGAAACTGAAAGTAATGCCTACTGCATAATAGTTTTTCTCCTCATCTGACTTGCAGAAGTCACTAGCCCCAAACTCTGATGCTACAAGCATCTTATTGGACAAATCGGGAAGGAGGAAAGAATCTTGCTCAGTCTTCTAAATATATTTTTGAGCTTATTGCTGACCTTTGCTTGACCAGAACTTGAACCTTTATATTTCAGATATATGCTTTTGTGCCGCTTTGTTCTCAAAGCTCTCCCATTTATTGTTATGTAACATTTGGCTAGGGTTACAAATGCAGGTACTTTTGGAACCCATGAGTATAGCCAAAGTGGGTGTAACAGGCCAATACTGTACAGTTGGGAGTGATGTGGACTGAGGAAAAGATGATCACATGCCCAGCATACAGGGAGTGTGTCTACTCATTCCAGTCACATTTTCTGTCTAACTGTATGTTCCAGCAGCCATAAGTTCTAAAGGTAAAAGGAATTGAATGTTGAAATTTCTATGTGAAATCTCACAGTTTCTAAATATGGGCTCAATTTTAAGCATTGGGAAAAAAGAGAAAACCATGTAAAGGAATCATAGCATGCCTTTAGGTAAGCAGTTTGCTACCTTTGCATAGGTACCCTGCAAGTACTTGCTCAATCAGTGAATGAATTACAGGTATCTATAAGATACAAGGAAATAAATGAGCACTCTAACCCTTACTCTCCCATGTTCGCTGGAAATTTCATATAATACTTTAAGGAGGATAATAGCCATTAGCAACAAATATGAAGACCTACAGATAAGCTTTTTCAGTCTATATCTGGATTCTGGAAGAGAGAAAGCAAGAGTGAGCTCAGTAAACTAAGGTTTTGTTAAGATATATTATGATATGCAAAGAATGTTAAGAGATATCACTTTTTGAACACACTTTTATCTGATCCCCAGCTTACCTTATGCTCTTAATTTATTACTCTTTTCTTTAATTCCTCAAATCTTTTGTCATTTTGTTAATTTTAAAAGAAAATGGTGAGTTAAGATAATGGCTCTACGGGAAGACAAACACAAGGGGAAAATAAAAATCAAGTATGCCAATTTTGCCACATAATCATTAATGAATAAACACGGGTTCAGTGCACTCCGGTTTGTTTTGACCTTCAAGATTTACTTTCTTTTTGAGATCTCTCCTGCTTTCCTTCTGGACAAACTCACCTTCCTTCTTTCATTTCAGTCCTTTATTCTGTCACCACATTTCACTTCATTTAATGGCACTT